ATAGAGACACAAACATACCCACGGCCCACACACTGACACACATTCCTTGTCCCCAAACTGCCTACACCCATACACACCCTTGCACACACCCCTTACATGCAGGTGCTTCTGTATGCACGTACCCATGTTTCCATGGGCACACACACGCACCTACATACACCTACACACACCCCTGCTCATGCGCACACCTCTACACCCATGCATACATTTATTTCAGAACAAGTTGCCTGAGTTTTGCAAGCTGTAGTTTTGGCCAGGGCCCTCCGACTTGGGACCACACTGTCCTCTCAGTTCCCCTCGGGGGTTGGGGGGTTGTCTGGATGCTCTCTCGAAAGTTCTGTTCTCCTCCCTGTCCCAGCCTCACCGTTCTCCAGCCTGGCGGCCCGAGGGCAATGACTTCATCCTCTGGAGCCTCTTTTCCCTCAGTCTTTAAATTGGGGCTGATGATCCCCACCCTGCTTGCCTCACAGGGTGGCTCTGAGCATTCCCATGAGATAAGGGAAAAGAGAGTGTCTTGTAAACTGCAAATTGTTTTCCAAACAGTCAAATGCTGCTGTTGAATTCCTGAACTCAGGAATTCCTCCACCTACATGTAAACCCTGTCCGCGGGTGAGAAGGGACACAGCGTGGAGGTAGTAAGGAGGCCTGGCCAGTTCCGAGGCTCCCATTCCCGCTGGTGATGCTGGAGGTGCGTAGGCAGGTGTCTGTGGGGCACAGGCTGCTCTGCCCTCAGCCTTTGCTGGGTCTACTGTCGGGTCAGATTGGCAGGGGTCTCAGGTGTCTGGCTGCAGGCTCTTGGGTAGGTAAGAGACTTTGGCAAAGGAGAGTGAGGGGAGAAGGATGGGGTGGGAAGCATTTGATCAAAGCTTGAAGCTAGTGTAGTATCATTTGTTTAAGGAAATGTTGACTCAGATTCGATACTCGTCTGACTTCAGTGGGGACCCATGACACCAGTACACCTGGGAGCCAAGGTTCTGCCTCACAGGTGTGCGGGGATGCCTGTCGGGCACTAGCTGGAGCTGTGGAGCTGCCCAGGAGCCATCACAGACCCTCCAGCTTTGGTGGACCCCTTGTGGGGGTTGCTCAGGGGACATAGGATGGAAGTGAGGCCAGGGTGTAGGTCTGTTGGGTTGTCAGAAGGCCACCCCATCTTCTTTTCTCCAGAGCTGTGACTGAGGACCAGGACACCAGGTGGCCCCCATGAGGTTCAGGCATTTGGATATAGGGTCAGTGGAGACCCAGGGGCCAATCGATGGGGGCAGTGATGTGGGAGTGGGGCTACAGTAGGTACTTTGCAAGGAGCTCTGACCAGAGGTCCTCCTTGTGGTTCCCATCCCCCTGGTCTAGCCCAAGCCTTGCCACGTAACACTGGGGAGAGAGAGGCACAGAAAGGCAAAGGACCAGCCCAAGGTCACACAGAATAGTAGAACCTGGTGGCCTCCCGTCTCCTAGCCCTGTGCTCATTCCTATGCCTGGGAAGGTGGAACCTGTGCTTGGGGACATCTTTTATGAAGGACGGTGAGGACTCATGTAACCTGCATGAATGAAGCCATCTTGTAATAATGGCCTTGTGAGCTGGAGCAGTCAGGATGGGCTCCTTGGAAGAGGAGGTAAAGTCTGGTTCACCAGAGAGGGTGGGTGAGGTACACTGGGGAGCAAGTTTGGCCAGGTTGTCATGTATCCCATTTGTTGAGCCTTCCTGGGGCCTCCTCAATTTAATCTTATTCTGTCCTCGTGGTTGTGAGAATTTCTTTCTCGTACCCCCACTCTACTGATTTGTTCATTAAATCTACAAATATTATCTGAGTCAGTGTTCTGGCCAATACTGGGACCCAGTGGTGACCAGGCAGACTGGCCCTGCCCTTGTGGGCCCACAGTCTGATGCAGTAGGCAGCATGGTGCCAGCCTTACTGGAAAACAGCTGCGTGATCTGGGGCCATTACTTTCCCTCTCTGTGCCTCAATTTCTCTGCTAAAGAGTGGTGGTAATAGTCTCTTCCTTATAATATTTGTAAAGTGCTCAGAACAGAGCCAGTCACATTGGAAGTACAATATCTATAGTATGTATTTGTTTAAGGAGTTGTCAAAGGAATGCACTAAGTGTAGGTGGTGAGAAAGTGCTGCACAGGAGGGAGGTAAAAAGAGCGATGATGGGAGCTTTCTGGGGAGCTGGCAGCATTTTCTGTCCAGGGCTGTGGGTCATAGGGTGTGTGCAGTCATCAAAATTCACTGAAATGGACTTGAGGCCTGTATGAATGTAAAGTACACTCACTTCACTGTATGTGAAATATACCTCAATAACCAAGCATCTATAGAAAGAAAAATAAAGGATGAAGGGAGAATCAGGGATCCTTTAGGTCCTCTTTAGACAGGGAAGTCAGGGAGGGCTTCTGAGAGGAGGTGACGTTGGAGGGAACTCCTGGAAGAGGTGAAGGCCCTGGCTGTGGGGAAGAAAGATGAGAACATTGAGGCTCTAAGAGGTTTGGGGCTATACTCAAGGTCAACTCGAGGGATCCAGAGTGACAGCCCAGGAAACTTGTTGGCAGCTGGCCCTGGTTGAGGCCACTGCAGAGCTCTGGCCCCTGTAATCTCCCCTGCAGAGAGGCCCGAGGGCGCTCATTATGTTTTCAGGAGGCAGCTTCCTCCCTGCCCCTGTGCCTGTTCTAGTGGCCTTGGCACTCAGGGAAGGACTATTTTAATCTGTGTGGGAAATTGGTTCCTAAATATGGACTGAGTAGGATGGGAGACATTGAGAGGCTCCAACTCAGGGCAGTTCCACCTGCTCCTCCACCTCAGCAAAGCACAGGGTGCAGGCCCGGGCCATGAGGCTCTCTGGCCTCTCCTTGACCATCCACCTCCATCCTCCCTACCCTCTTATCATACCCCTCTTCCCATCCTTTGTTTGTTCAGAAGCCCAATGTTTTCTGCTAGGCTTCAGCCAGGGACTCCCAGGTTAACCTGACCTACTTCTGCCTTCAAGCTGCTTCCAGTCTGGTGGGAGGTACAGAGGCAAAAACCATTGAGGGAACTGCTGGAGAATTTTCCAGAGGACAAGACATCTGAACTGAGCCCAGAAGGTTCCTCAAAGGGAGAAAGTTGGCCCAAAGGCGAAGGAGATGAAGTGAGAGTTCACATGGCATAAGCAGAGAGTGAGGCCTGTTTGGGACCAGCATGTACATCATTCTGACCAGAACCCAAAGTGTTCTGGGGTCAGAGGAATGAGCAGGGAGAGGAAGGCAAGGCCTGGATGCCAAGGGAGGAGGTGGCCTTTATTTGGAGGACCAAGGGTAGGGATTTAAAGGTAGAGAAGGGCCAGAGAGAGAGAGAGGTGGGGCTGAGGAACCCACTGAAAGTGTTCCAGTTGTGGGCTTGGGGTCTTATGAGAGAAGAGAGAGTACCCTGGTATAGGGATTGGGTACCAGAAGCAGGGCAGAGTGAGGAGGGGGTCCAGGAGCCAGCCTGGGGGCCCTGGTAGGACACAGTCAGGTCAGGCTAGGGAAGAGGGGCCAGGGAGAAGTGTTAGGAGGCAAGCAGAGAAGGGGTGCAGAGAGGACAGAACAGGGAGGGAGGATGGCACATCTTTGACCCTGTGGCTAAAGTCTGAGGTCCCCCTGGCTAAAGCCACCTCAGGACACAATGTGGGTGAACTGGTGTGGTGATTGGGGATGACCGAGCCTCTACCCCCAGCACTGTTAAGTAAGAAGCTGGGGCTTGGGAGCTGTGTGGGCGCAGAACAGAGGGGTGTTCTGGGAGGCAGAGGCAGCATTCTCAAGGGATCCATGGTTTCCAGGCTGGGAGTGTCTCCTTACAGCCGCCTCCATGCACAGCCCGTCCTGGTCTAGGGAGTGGAGCAGGGACCCCGGAGTGGAGGGGCTGGCCCAGCTCCTTGCACTCCAGGCCAGAGTCAAGGTGAATAGCTCGGAGATGGAGCAGCCGTGGGCCAGCAGATGCGAGAACCCACCGCCTTCCTCTCTACCCCAGTTGGTCTTTGCCTAGAGAGCTTGGTCCCAGAGCCTGCCCCACACAGTGCCCTGGCAGGAAGCACCATTCTGTAGGGGAGGAAACCAAGACCAGTAGTGGCCCAGGGTCCTGTGGGTGCTGAGCAAGATGGACCTGATCTGAGCTTATCTGGTCCTCAGCCCTGCTCCACTAGGAAACAAATGTGAGCAGCCCTACTAGGGGATGGCTCATCCCTGCTCTCCCTACTCTGGGCCATCTCCCTCTGCATGCTGACTTCTCTGCCCACTTCAGGATCTTGCTCATTTCCGGTGATTGGCCTTAAGGTTGGCAGCCAGAGCCCAGGGCTGAGTTAACCTGAACAAGGATCCTGCCGCCCGCCCACCCACCTGCTGCCTACCTTGCTGTGATGCATCCTGTGGGGCTGACTCTGTCATTACTCCATTTTACAGAGTTGTGGACTATGGCTTGGAGCTGTGATTGCCTGAGGTCACACTGAGTCATTGGAGGAATTTAGCCCCAGGCCCGGACCCCACGCCACCAGGCCATCTGTCACCTCCTTCAAGTAGGGTCCTCCGTGCCCCCAGACTCTATCTCTGGGTTTACATTCTTGTGCCATCCCACTGTGAAAATCAAGCTCAGGGATATGTGGCCCCTGGCCTGGGGTCTCACAGCTAATATGTGATTTGACTACAAAACCTACTCAATTTCCACTTCCTTGCTGCCCCTGGGAAGGGAGACAGGAGCTTCTGTGGTCTTGAGCCCATCCATGCTTTCAGCCACCTCCCAGGCCTTCCCAAGCTACCAGCCGGGCTGCTTGAAGCTAACCTCAATCAAATCCAGGTGCTCATTGGACCACAAATCAGGAAAACCTGAATTTGAGCCCTCATTTTGCCCTTCATAGGCTGAGTGACCTTAGGCAGGTCTCAGGTGTCTCTGAGCATACATGTCCTTGTCTGCAAAGTGAGGGCAGTGGCACCATCTGGGTGGCTACTGGAGAAGTGGGTTTTGAGTCTGACGCTTTCTGTGCCTACCTACCCTCAGCTCCTTTACGACAGCCCCAAGGCCCGGCAGGAGGTGGAGCACCACTGGCAGGCCTCGGGCGGCCCCCACATCGTGCGCATCCTGGACGTGTATGAGAACATGCATCACAACAAGCGCTGTCTCCTCATCGTCATGGAATGGTATACCCCCCCGCCCCCCACCTCAGCGCCTCACTGGTACCCCGGTGGCCCCCAGGCTCCCATCATTTTTTCAGGGCCCTCTCTGATCTTTAGATAGCAGCCTCAGGAGACACCGCAGCCCCTGGGGGCGGGGGGGAACCTGTGCAGCTGGCCACAGGGCATCCTACAAGGGTGGGAAGGAAGTCAAAGGGCTCTAATATGTCCTCCCTGGCTGTGATTTCCGCTTTGCGAGGAGAAGGTGGAAGAGCTGTCAGAGAAGGCCTCCAAGCCCTGAACACGGGTTGGGGGGAGATTTGGGGAAGACCAGGACGTACATGGTCCCCTCAGCTTTCTCCTTCCCACCTGGATGTGTGCTCCCGTGGTCCCACCTGGTGCTGGAGCCAGCGGACTCCTCCACCCCAGGCTTCTCCACTAGCGCTGTGGCTCAGTCCTGACCTTTCTCAGACCCTGGGCCCTTTGTCTTGGCCTCCAGCTCCCCTCTGTCTTCCTTTCAAGTTCCCCCTCACCCCACAGGGTAGCAGCTCTTGAGTCAGATTTGGGGTTCAGATCCTGGCTCTGCTGCCCACTAGCTGTGTGGCCTTGGGCAGTTGCTAACCTCTCTGAATCACTGTAACTCCCACATGAAATGTGGAGGAAGATCTTAATGTAGCATTCACCCTGTTCATTCTAAGTGTTCCAGTGTATTGCTGATTCAATCTCCACTACTCTGTGAGGTTGGTGCTATAATCCCTGTTTTACAAACTAAGAAGCTGAGGCACAGAGAGGTGAAGGGACCAGCCCAGGATCACACAGCAGCACACATGAATGGTTTGCCCAGGGCACAGCCCACAGGAGATGCTCAGAGAACAATGGTCATGATGATGATAGTTGACATCCTCATTTGGGGAAACTTGGATAAGTGTGGGGCTACCAGGTAGGGACTGTGCCACTGGGAACACAGGGACTCCCTGGTGAAGATCTGAGCCCACCATCCTCCCCTAGTTCTAAGAGTTCAGTTCAACCCACCCAAGCTAACAGCCCACCACACAGCAGGCTCTACAAGGCACAGGGAGGCTGAGAGTGACCTTTCCCCAGGGGAAGAGCAGCAGGGCTTGAGGCCTGGGCCTGTGATTCGGGGCAGGGGTGGGTTGACGCCTGATTCTCCCTCTCCCTGCTTACAGTCACCTTGTCTTATAGCATGGAAGGTGGTGAGTTGTTCAGCAGGATTCAGGAGCGTGGTGACCAGGCTTTCACTGAGAGAGGTATGTGCGTGCAGCTGGACCAGGGATTTGGGCTGGGATGGATCATACAGAGTTTCTGTATGATGCTGGGCAAGGCTCTGCTCCTCTCTGTGTCTCAGTTTCCCCAGCTGAACAGGAGAGGGTGGGACAGAGTGTCCATCTCCCAGGGGGTTCTGTGAGTCTATGACACCTTGTCGGAGGTAGACTCTATGGCCTTGGGATGGAGGCTTCAAGGCCTCTTGATGCCAACCAGCAGCTGAGCTGGGGAGAGGTAGCCCAGGCCTGCAGAAAGAGGTCCAGGTGAACTGCAGGCATCCCCAGAGGAACCTAGGCTGGTCCGAGTCAGGGTATGGGATGGGGGTTCTAGGTGGCAAGAGTGCTGTTACAGGCTCGTGCTTTCCCAGGAGGGATGATAGGGTGGAGTCCTCTAGGCTGCCTAACCCTTGACTGGCATCATTGATACCCCCTTCCTCCCATCTGTGTCTGCAGAAGCCGCAGAGATCATGCGGGATATTGGCACTGCCATCCAGTTCCTGCACAGCCAGAACATCGCCCACCGAGATGTCAAGGTGAGATTCCAGGACCCAGGTTGGGAGACCAGGGAAGAGAGTACCACCCATAAACCCCAATAGTCCCAGCATCCACAAGATGGAATCCAGGGTCCTTGGTCAGCATTCAGGACCTCTGCCCCCCGGCCCAGACTGCTCTTCTCAGCCTCTTCTCCCGTGGTCCCCACAAACCCACTGTGCTCTAATCAGACAGGTCTCCTTGTTTCCTTCAAAACTGTAATCTGAATTGCCATAAGAATGACTGAGTGCCGACCTCAAGCCAGTAGGTCCTAGTAAGAAGCATCTCATTTAATCCTCACCCAGCCTGTGAGATGGATGCTGTTACCCATTTTACAAATGAGGAGCCCTAGAGAGATTAAGTATCTTGCTCAAGGCTGTGCAGTTGCTGCACTGGGATTCATTCATTCATTTGTTCATTCACCAAGGATTTTGGGGAGACACAATGTGCCAGGCCTCAGGCCGGGGCTGCCTGATGCTGTTGGGTCTTCTGTGAAGTAGCAGCCTTAGTTTCAATAGGTTGGGCCCTCTAATGCCAGCATTTTAAGGCAAAGAAGCCATTGGCTGGGCACTGGAGAAAGGAGCAGAGGTAACCCAATTTCTGGACCTACTTGCCCTTCCAGTGGACAGGCTTGCGAGATGTTCTCTCCAAATTTCCTGCCCAGGGAGGACTGAATCTCAGAGGTGATCGGGATCAGGTGGATGAAATGTAAACTGAGGCAGCCTCACATACACACATACACACACACAATGCACGTGCCAGCCCCCGTCAGAGCAGAATCTACAGCTCCCTTCGCCGCATTCCTAGAGCATGATCCCCTAGGCTGTTTCCTCCTGAGACTGGGCAGAGGAGACCTGAGGGTCCAGCTGCTGCATCAGGTCCTTCCTCTGGCTGAGTAACGCCAACCCATACAGTTAGCCTTTGATTTTGGATACAAGTGAAGCCACAGTAGACTCACCTTCTGAACTCTTGCTTTATTTTTGGCCTTGGCTTCCTTTTTTCCCTTGAGGGGAGAAAAGCCTTCTGCAGAGAAGATTCCTTTGTGTAGACTAAAACTGCTTCCTTGTTTTATCCCAATCCAAGGTAAGATTTTCTCAAATAGAACCTGAGAAATAGCTTTCACTGGCTCCAGACTGGAACTCCATCTAACGTCCCATCCTTCTACCCAACTCTGCTGCCCTTCTCCATGGGCCTAGGTCCTACCTGTTCATTAAAAACCAGCTTCAGGGCTGCCTCCTCCATGCAGCCTTCATCCCTCAGACTGTCTGTGCTCTATAACCAGGAAGGTTGGCCTCTGTGCAGCTCCTTGGGGCCTAAGCGGAGGGGCCTTCTCCCTGAACAACCTCAAGGGGGCCTGTCCTGTGGGCTCATCCTGGGCTGGGCACAGGAAGTATGCTCAGAAGTTCCTGCCCCTGGGCTTTCTGTGGCACTTGGTTATCCACACCCTTGGTTGAACACCTGCCTCAGTTTCCACTCTGCCAAGTTACTTCTTAGCCAGCTTAGTCTTCTCCATATTTGGCCCACATTGTTGGTGGCCGAGAACAGGGTCTTTTTAATGAGATGGGCCTGGCTTCTCCTGCCTCAATCTAGATGAAAGAGGGAGGGAGGAAGTCTGGCTAAAGATCACCCTGAGACTCTGCCCCCACCTGGAGCCTAACTCCAGACCAATGTTTTCTCTTCCCGGCCCAGCCTGAAAACCTGCTCTACACGTCCAAGGAGAAAGATGCGGTACTCAAGCTCACTGACTTTGGCTTTGCCAAGGAGACCACCCAAAATGCTCTGCAGACTCCCTGCTACACTCCCTATTATGTGGGTGAGTTCTTGGGTCACGCCTGGACCCTGCTGTGGTGTGGGGCAGCCGGTGGGTTGCCGAAGCCAAAGGGTTAAAGCCCGGTGAGGAGGGAGGGGAGGATTCTGTCTGCATGGAGGCGGTGACTGGGGGGCCGGAGGCTGCAAAAATATTCTCTCAAACTTCAGCTTCTGCTTTTGAAAATAGATCCAGGAAAATTCTGGCTGTGGCCTGTGAGCTGAATGACATCACAGTGGCTCTAAATATATACGTGATAAAAGGCTGCCATCAGCTTGGGACAGAGCCCAACCGCGGTTGTTTTTCTCCAGTTTTTATCTTCCTGGGAGTCATATTCAGAGAGGGAGCAGGCGTTTCCTCCTACATTAGAGGGATACAGGGTACCAGCCACCTGCCTTGTGGGAGAGAGTCCCTTAGGCCAGGGCATGGCTGGGACCCAGGGTGGTGCACAGACTCATGCTTCCTGGAGAAACTCCCTGCTCCCGTGAGCGGGCAGCCCCCAGATCTGGACAGCCCCTGCTGCAAGTGGCCCTTCCCGGAGAGTGGGGCGATGACTCGTTTTACAGAAAGCTCTTCTCCTTCAGAATAAGCCTCCCAAGAGAGCTAGCTGCTTAAGGGGTAGGAAGCCCCTTGAGACAGCTGGAACGGCACTGTTTACCAGGATGTGTTTTGCGGCATTTTAACTTGGAAGTCTTCTGGCCTCCCCCTGCCACTGCACAGGTGGGAAGACCAAGGCTCCGTGGGAGGGTAGCCAAGCTGGTAGTGGAACTCAGAGCCCTGGCCCCAGCTCCTCCTTGCCCGTGGCCTAGCCTGTGCATTCAGGAGGCAAGGGACACAGGGCAGCTGGTGGGCTGAGGCCCTCTCACCTATGGCAGGACCCCACCAAACCCCAGACTGCCCCTTTCTCCCTCTCCTCTCTCACCAAGGCTGAGACTGGCCCAAAGTAGCTAGGAGGCTATCGTTTCTTACAACCCAGCCTGAAAGTGGATTTATTTTTTCTGGGAGATGTTTTTCCTCCCCCAGCTTCACACGCATGCTGCCTTCCCAGAAGGTGCCAGACACCAATCTGCTGTGCCCCTCCAGCAGCCCGGGCACCTGCTCTCCACCTTGCCCGGGCTTTAGGTGCCTGCCTGGGCTCCAAGACCCTTGAGACTGAGAGCCCTTCTGTGCCCTCTGCCCTGGTAGCTCCTGAGGTCCTGGGTCCAGAAAAGTATGACAAGTCATGTGACATGTGGTCCCTGGGTGTCATCATGTACATCCTGTGAGTATAACCACCTCTGACTCCTGCACCCCCACCCCCATGTACCCTCAGTACCACTTCTGCCCCACCACCCGCCACCCTTGGTGAGGGGCTTAAGCAGGTCACACTTCATGTAGGTTGGCCTTCCCTCTGGTCATGGGACACCCCTCCTTCAGGCTGCCTGAAGGCCTCCCCAGGCCAAGGGCAGATGGTGTTCCTGGGATGAACCCCAGACTTGAGAGGCCTGGTATTGTTGCCGTGGTGTCTGGCTGTCTGTCTCCCCAGTGAGGGTCTTGGGGAGGAGAAGGGGTCCACTCTGGCACTGCCCCCATACCTGTGCTGAATGACTTCCGCCCTCCCCCAGCCTGTGCGGCTTCCCGCCCTTCTACTCCAACACTGGCCAGGCCATCTCCCCAGGGATGAAGAGAAGGATCCGCCTCGGCCAGTATGGCTTCCCCAATCCTGAGTGGTCAGAAGTCTCTGAAGATGGTGAGTGAACCTTTGCCCCAGCTTCTCCACCAGACCCCACCAGCCTTCCTTCTGGGAGAGACCACTTTTTTGACCTGATGCTAGCTCCCCCACATCTCAGCTGTGACCCTAGGCAAGTCACCTAACCTTTCTGAAACTCAATTTTTATGTCTACCAAATGGGCTCAAAACCTCCCTCCTCAAAACTTCCCCTAACTGTGTCTTTCATCCATATTTTCCCTTTCAGGACCACAAACAAGTCTGCCTTTATCATTTATCTATTGCTGCTTCACAAATTACCCTGAACACTTAAAACAAGAAAAGAGGGTGGGGTAGGGTGGTAATAGCTCAGTGGTAAGAATGTGTGCTTAGCATGCACGAGGTCCTCAGTTCAGTCCCTGGTATCCATTAAAAATAAATAAATAAACTTAATTACGTCTCCCCCAAAAAATACAAATTAAGAAAACAAGACAGGAAGCAGTTATTAACTCACTGTTTCTGTGGGTCAGGAATTAAGAGCATGTGCAGAGCTCGTGGTCTGTGGGAAGAGGGCTGGCTCTGAGGAACTGGGCAGCCTCACCACTCCCCTCTCTTCCATAGCCAAGCAACTGATCCGCCTCCTGTTGAAGACAGACCCCACAGAGAGGCTGACCATCACACAGTTCATGAACCATCCATGGATCAACGTGAGCGCCTTGTGGTCCTGTGGTGGGCAGGGTGACGACGAGCTAGAGGAGGGCTGCCAGGAGGGCGATGGCTCTGGAGGCCCTGACATGGGCCACAGATGTGTGGCAGTGCCCCACCTGTGACTTGCCTTTGTCCCTCACTGCTCCTATCAGGCTCCTTCACCCCCTGGGGCCTTGGTTTCCCCATCTGAGTCTGGAAGAAAGGGGGTGGGGTGGGGCAGCCAGTGCTGTCCCAGGTGCTTGCGGGAACTGATCCAGGGGCTTGGGGCTCCTTCCAGCAATCAATGGTGGTGCCACAGACTCCACTCCATACGGCCCGGGTGCTGCAGGAGGACAGAGACCACTGGGATGAAGTCAAGGTGGGTGGACTCTACCTCAGTCTCCCTGCAGGTAACAGGGTTTTGGGCAAAGGGTAATGACCACCTAGAACCTGGGTCTTCCGCCCCCTCTCCCATTGACACAAGGTGTCAGTGACTGCACCAGTGATCCAATCTTGGCACTCAGAGCACTGGGCTGCTACCCCATTCAGGGTAGTGCTCTGGGCTTGCTCCCTCAATGAAGCGGGCCAGGGACTCAGTGAAGGGGCTTTTGCCCCAAGCTTTGGCCACAACCCCTATTATAATCTGCAACATTGAGAGTGTGGTCAGCATGGTTTTAAACTCAGCAGAGGCCAGATTTGAGCATATGGCACAGCAGCTCAGAGCCAGGGCACCCAGGGCACAATCTTTGGGTCCTAGTGCCCTGGGTGCACAGCAAGATGGCATTCCCTGTGGGCCTTGTGGTTCTGAGCAGGTGACATTGGTCCAAGTCCCTGTCCTACTTATCCTTGGTGGTCCCAGGGATTCACTGTACTTCCTGTGCCTTAGTGGATAAGCTCAGAGTCTGCTGCAAGGGACTAGTGAGGATTAAGTGAGGCAAAAGTGTGGGAAGGTATACAGGAGGCCCTCGGGCAGCAAAGGCTGTCACTGACATAATTAAGGGGCTATCCAGACAGGAGGGTGATGGCTCTTGAGGTCAGTATATACTGATCTTCCCCCACACCCGTCCCCAGGAGGAAATGACCAGCGCCCTGGCGACCATGCGTGTGGACTACGACCAGGTGAAGATTAAGGACCTGAAGACCTCTAACAACCGGCTCCTCAACAAGAGGAGGAAGAAGCAGGCAGGCGGCTCCTCGGCCTCGCAGGGCTGCAGTAATCAGTAGCTCATGGGGTCATGGAGGAGCAGGGCCTCTCAGTCTGGAAGACACAGTGGAGTGTGCGGAAACCTTGACCTGAAGAGCCCAGGGTCATTTTTTAAACAAAAGAGTTATTTTATTGTGTTTTAATTTGTTACTTGGAACTTCAGGATGGGGGACTGTGACCCCAGTCCTTCAGGGTCCCAGCCTAGGTTGAGGCCCTAGAGAAGGGCCAAAGCCTGAGGGCTAGGGAGCGACCTGCTACAGCTGCTGTGCCTTTGGCCAGAGTGGCCTGAATGAACTGTGGCTCTGTGGTCCTGGGGCATGGCCTTAGACTTCTAGGCCACTGGGAGTTGTGGCTGGGCTTCCCTCCTTCTGTGGAAACAGTTCCCTGTAGGGTGGGCAGATGGGCCCGGCCTTGGCAAAGGCATCCGGTCACTGGTTGTCATGGTGACCAGGGACACGGTTGCTGTCTCTGAATGCTGAGTGAGTGAGCAAGGGAGGGAGAAGGGGCAATTGAGGGTCTGTGCGCCTTCTTGGGGAGGCTGCTCTCCCTCACGCTGCTTGCCCCGCTCAGACTCACCCCTCTTTGGTCTCACTGAGGACACAGGGTCAGTCTGCCAGCCTCCCGGGGTGGTCCAGCCCTGTCTTGCTGCAACCCCATCCCACAGGGCCCTTGGAATTCTCCTTCCATAGAGTCCCTGGGCCCAGCCACCCTGTTACTATGCCCTCTACCCAAAGAGTGGCCTCTCATCTCAACTGAGGGTAGGAAGTATTTTTAACCCTTTTTTATTTTGGAGAACGTCACTGTGACAAAAGCCAGTGCAGTTTCCCTGCCCTAACCTGCTCATCGGATCCCAGAAAGGAAAGCCTCTCTCCTTAATGGCTCATCCTGTACTCTTGGTTGGCCCTAGGTGATGGCAGGGGTTGTCTCCTAGTGTACATCTGTGAGAGTGGATGGCTGGAGGCAGAGCCAAGAGGCTCCCGTTAATCAGGAGTCTCTTTATCCAGGTCAGACCCGAGGCAGCAGAAGGCTGCTCTGTGATGCTTAGAAGGTCTAGTCCTGGCTTTGGCCTGAGTCAGAGTGGAGAAGGCCCCTTCTTTCTGGTCCAGGCTCACCTAGTCCCATGCTGCCCACATAGCCTCAGGGTGCTGAATGCCTGATGTGGGCCCGGCAAGTGCCTGACACCCAGCTTGGTTCCTGGCTCCCAGTCCTTCTCTCACTGGCTGGGAAACCCTAGACCACCTTAGATAGGGCAACACTAACACTGCTGGGTTTTACATCCAAATATTAATAAACGACATTTTGGCATTTTCCCCTGGTCCCTGGGTTTCTCTCTGTCTATATGAGTGGACAAAAGTGGCCCAAGGGCTTGTGCCCATACCCACTAGTGGTTTCACTCCTGCTGCAGAGGGTGCCTCAGGCCTGGTAAACATGCCAGGCTGACTCCAGGGCCACCCTGGTCTCAGCAGGTATGGAGAGGTCAGAGGAGCTGAGGGATGGCAGCTGCTCTGCGCCACTCCGGTGCACTGAGTGTGTGACACCCGCCCCCGGCCTGGTGTGCACCAGTGTCTGCCCACAGTGGCCACCCCCAGCTGTGTGCCAGCCTGCTGAAGGGCGGGCAGAGCGCCTGCTGCAACGCTGAGCTATTTTCAGAAGCTGCCAGATTTCATTTGGCAGCGAGAATGTCGAGGAGGGGAGGAGGCGGGACGCTGGAACCTGTCTTTTGACGACTCCAGCGACAGAGCACCCTCAGCCCTTGGGAGCCCTTGCGGGCAGCCTTGGGGGGGCCCTAACTGTGGCATATTCCCCCAGCCCCTGTCCTCCCAGTTTCCCAAGAGCTCATCTGGCACCCACAGCCCCCGCCTCCCCCTCCATTCCCCCCAGGGTGTGGGGGAGGGTGCGAACATGTTAGAAGGCAGGGACAGGCAAGCGCATCTGAGAGGATGCTGCTTCCTAGCCTGCCGACCTTGGACAAGTCTCCCAGCTTCCCCGCCTCACACTCCTCAAGGGTGTAGTGGGGATGGTAGTGCCCACCCTGGGGAGTCATCTGGGGGATCTGGGCAGATGATGTGTGTGAAGTACTTGGTGGGGTGCCTGGTACATGGCTCGTGCCCAGCACCCATTTGCCACCCCAGCATACTTAGCTGTCAGGAAGGAGGGAAGTACCTGAAGTTGCTCAGAAAAAAAGCAGCCAGCATCAAATCTACCTCTGGGACTTTCCACCCAGAAAATTAGGCTCTCTCCACCCATGGGGTCTCACTCCCAAAGGCCTGCTCTCCAAAGCAACATCATATGGGCCTCCTGGACGTTGATTCCGGCTTCAGGCTTCAAGGACGGTGGCCCACCCTTCTGAAGGGCTCCTGGGCTCCCCAAATGAATTCTGGGGCCTTCACGGAGTCTGTGGTTCAGACTGACCCTCAACATGTACTTTGCCCAGTAAAACACAGGGCAGATGCAAAGGCAGGTGATTCTACCTAGTCACAAAGCTGCAGAGTTGCCAACTGACTCCTTCACTTGGCTGCTGAGTGGCCACTGCCTGAGACTGCTGGGTGCACGGGAGGCAGCAGTGGACGCTGTGCACAGAGTCTCACCTCGGGGAGTTTACACTCGTGAGGGAGAAGGACAAAATACCACACAAATACGTGTTCAATCATGGGCTTGATACAGTCTGTGAAAGGAGGATGTGGCTTGAGAAGGTGTCATTATGTGGTTTAAGGCAAAGAAGGTATTTATGCTGCAGTGGCTGGGAAGTCTGCCTGATAGACTGCAGGGTTAAAGGCAGAACTGCAGGGACCAGGCCTCAGGGACAGAGGGGCTCTGTGCGCCCCTCAGCTCTGCCTGGCTGTGCCTCTGCTGAGGGCCAGCCTGGACCGTTCCCACATGAGGACCAGAGGTTCAGCAGTCCCAGCAGGGAGGCATCTGCTCAGGTGTCTGCACGCCAGCCCCAGGGAAGGATTCTTATTGGCCATACTTGGCCCCTGGCTGTTGTTGGGCAGGGCATGGCCTCTCCTGTGACTAGGTGGGGAGGGGTGCAGCAGAGGTAGTTAGCAGAGGATGGGAAGTTCACTCCCGTATCTCCCTCATCTGCTTGGCCACATCCAAGAGCCCATGAGGAAACTAGCCCAGGGACAAGCCCAGCCCTGCTGATTTCTGGCATCAAGTGCAACTCTCACGAGTCAGACCTGGGAGGCTGGATGCCTGGCTGAGTCACACTCTGGGGCCTCAATGTGGCTGTCTGTGAAATGGGAGCAAACCCTGACAATTAGCTGGTATCAGGTGAGCTAATAAGCCAAGGGGCTACACGTGCACATCAGCCTATTTAGATACAGGCGTTTGCACAGGTTTCATGTGGCTTCCATGGGAGCTTTTGGTAAACAACCCATTAGAGGTGTATTCACACGTGTGTGCGCGTGAGTGCACATGTATTTGTATGTGTGCATGTGTGGCGGGGGTTTCTTCCCAGTGATGCTCCCCCTGACCCAGCTGACAGCAGAGTTCTCTGTCTTGCAAACCTGGTGCTGGCTGGCTTCCAGAGGCCTGGCTCATTGCTATTCCACACCAGCCCCTCTCCACCCTCGATTCAGCCCCTCCACTGCAGCGGCAGAATTGAGCCTCAAAATGCATCCTGCCGCAACCTCTGCAGGGATCTCGATGATTCCAGACCTACTTGAAATTCTCTCTCTCTGGCAGGCATGCAGAGAGGGCACAGGCCCCGGGTAGCTGTCTCCAGACCTGGCTGCCTTGGATGAGCTTTTGCATCCCTAGTGAGTCCTCACAGCTGTCCCCATTCCTGGCAGGTTAAAATTCTTCCCTTTGTCCCTCTGGGCAGCCAGCATGTTCACCTCTTGGAATCGAGGCCAGCAGGCAGAGAAGGGTCTGGGAAGCCCACCTCCCACCCTGTGTGTGGGGTGGGCTGGGATTATTCAGTTTAGGGCCAGATCTGAGTTTTGGTTTACACGAAGCTGCGGACAAGGGAGTTCCTCTTTTTGAGGTTCTCCATCAATAAAATGAGACAATGATTAATCAGGGCCAGATGCTCTGGGCACCCTTGATAGACACGCTGCCATTGCTTCCTGGATTAGGAGTATACTCTGTGGTCTCAGGCAGAAAGTGCACTTTGCTGGGCCTCAGTTTTCTTATCTCTTAATATAGGAGTAATCCTCACAAGGGCGGGGCAAGGCTTCAGTGGAGAAGGGGAAGGGTGGCCAAACCCAAAGGCGGTGGTCATCAATGCAGCCCAAGTGTCTGCTAGTCTGCCCAGCTGCCAAGACTCTGCCAGGTCTGCCCTCTCTCCAGTTCCCCTGACCAGGAGAAGGCAGCCAGTGACTCAAGGGAACCAGTTTCCTGGGACTCAGAGCACCTGGTCAGGGCAGGTTAATTGGGGTATGGGGCCACCTGCTGGTCACCTGGTGAGTATTTAGTAGATGCCTACTGTGTGCCACAGCCTGAGGGAGCTGTGGTCCTGCCTGGGTGGAGGGGAAGACCACAACATCATAATGAATAGCTTGTTTACTGAGTGCCCATTATACTCTAGGACTATACGGGATCACCTGGACCATCTCATTGAGTCCTCACTCTCCCATCTTACAGAGGGGGAGACAGCCCTCAATCTCTTAGGCAGAGGAGGTCAGAGGAAGGAATGCTGCTTTTGACTGGTGATAAACATACAGGGCTTCCGAGAGGTGATGGCACGTGAATTTGAAGGGCAAATTTGGATAGACGAAGATTTGGGAAAAGGGCATTCC